TCGTCTCGGCTCGTCGCTGGCAGCGCCATCTTGACGAATGCCGCCTGTTGTCATTGGGCTTGGGCGCCTAATCTTATCTGTTACTTTGGGTTGCCAGCCTGCTGTGTGTGTGTACACCCGACTGCCGTTTTAGGTCGTCTCCTGAAAGTCATTTAAAATTATGTACATCAAGAATAAGCAGCAGGAAAAGCTTTAGCTTCGCCTCAGCAGCAGCCTCGCAGCAGCAGCAGCAGCAGTCCAGTCGCAAGAATTCTTTCTAATTTAGTCCACGCGACTTTTATGACTTTAATGGCCCACCACTTTGACATGGACCCCGGACCCCCAGCCATGTTGACTAGCGCCTGGGGATTTGTCATTAGGTATTTTTGTTGTTGTTGTTGTTATTCTGGCTTTTGCCGCCTGTCTCTGGGATTAGGTAAGTTTTCTGCCACAGCATTGATTTATATTTTTGCACATTTTTATGACGCTTCTTGCTGTGCTTCAAGTACAAACGCCGCGGCTATTTATAGTTTATTTTTATGGCCACAAGGGGACAACATTGAGCCGCATTTTGACAGTTCCGGCCCGCAATTGGTCATATAATATTCGAAACATTCTCAGCTGGGTAGGCCAAAAGGAGCTGAAATTTAGGGTGGTTACCAGAATGAAAAAAAATCGAATTGGAACATGGCCTTATTTCTTTGCATATGACATAATGAGCCTTGCACCGAAGTTTTGCGTATAGAATATGAAATAAAAGTTGCAAATTCTTAGAGTAGAGTAAGATGGACTTGATGAGTGTGTCTTAATTATTCCATGTCCACACTTGCACACGTCGTTTTTATTTCGGAAGGCATTTCCAAACAAGTCATTTTATTAAAATATGACCTGGACTAAAATAATCATACCAATATTTATAATACCACCACAATGCTGCTCACATAAGTAATTACACCTGTTCATACCCTTGCATAGAGTTATGCTCCTACCCTATAATGTGCATATATTTTACTTTCAAATTATTCTTTCAGTTTTGAACGGTTTTATGGACACTAAACGGGGATTCGCAACAGATTTACTATTACTATTTTCAAAATGCTACTCACACTTATTTAAAGTCTTACTGGCTCGTATTAAGCATCGACTGCCAATAAAATTCTTTTAAGAAAACATTAGGTTTTCGGCTAAGCATAGAAATATACGGAATTTACGTCTAGATAGTTACTGTGATAAAAGCATGTTACGCTGCTTGTTGGAAAATATAATTTTTTTCAATTTTGTATTTACAATTACCCATTTTATTTCAATTAATTATCCGTCTTACTTCCATCTAGATAACTTTAGATTCTGCTTATGGCAAAACATAAATTACAATTCAGGCCTCGTCGAATCGGTTTGATTCAAAACTGATTGTGTATTTTAGTTTCTCTTATTGTGCCACTTGTTAGAGAATAGTTCAACCCGGGTAATTAATAAATTTGCATTTTAATTCAGATTAATTAAAGAGCAGCTGTCTATATCAATGCAAGGTTTTTTCCGGGGCAAATAGGGATCATATGGAAAAATATAAAAGTTAGAGGCTAATTACAGAAGCGGACCGTTGCAATTGGATATGTGAGCTTTCGAATGGGAAATGCTCTGTTCGAACTAATCGTATACATACCTTCTTGTAGCAATCAATAATTTTGTGAGAGGGCTTTTTGAAATTTGCTCAGGAGCATGGCTGCCCATCAAAGGACTCTTTGGATTCACACCACTTTACAGTTCATTAGGCAGTCGACGCGTACGAGCAGTATCTCAAATCTAGGCGAATGAGTATCTGTGAGTTGCGAGTGGACAGGGCGGGTCTATTCGAGAGTCTTTGTGTGAGGTGCTGGCTGTGACATGTTTAAAAATAACAATATGAAGGCAACTTTTCCAGCAGAAGCGATACATAATAATTAATATGCTCAACTCATTGAACAATTATTTAATTTGGCGTTAATAATAATTTTGCGACATTTTTTTCCTTTTTTTTTGTGAGCTAGTTTTAGACGCTGCAGCTGCGACGAGTTTGGGTGGTGCCTGAAGGCAGCATACTTTTAGCGTACACTGTGTGGCATCAAATGTTGCTATTTTTATCGACAACGTTCGTCTCTTCAGGGAAGTTCATCAAAGTCAAGCACAGACAAGGCGCCACACAGGCACACAGTGGGCGGGGCAATACACACTCTACCTGCCAAGACAGTTGACACATGTGGCATACACGGAGGTGTGTGTTTGCAAGTCTGTGTATCTGGAAAGGAAATTTATTTCATTACAGCTCAGCACCCAACGCAGTCGCGTCCTTCTGTCCTTCTGTCCGTTTATCGGTCTGTCCGTCCCTCTGCCTACCTCCGGCTGTCGATACGTTTGACTATTTGACTGGCAAGCATCCGTTTCAGTTTGCCGCTTTTATCTATAAGGCAGGTGAGCACGCGGGGGTAGGAAGCTTCCTGCCATACTGCGACAACATGGAAAAATTCTCCACGAACATAAATTTCCATGGATGCACGTGCAAAGCTTTCGGCATGAAAATCAATTAACTTAAATTAATTCAGCGAAATATTTGCGCTGTAAAAAGTTGGCCAAACAAACATGTGCCACAATTTCGGCATCTCCCATTTTCTCCCATTTCTCATTTATATGTATATCTATTTTTTTTCTCTTTTTTTGCGCTATTTTCCTGTTTATGTTTTTCAGCCTCCCGTGAGCTTAGCCTGAGCTGCTAGCTGCGCTTTGGGAGTGCTGTAATACCAACAGGCTAACAATTTAATTTGTATTCTACATGCTATGCAAATACCATTATCCCGAATAGGCATTACAAATTGATTTTGAGCAGGTGACACAGCTCTTTGGGGCGGGTATCGCATGGATAAAGGTGTACTAAGCTGTTGTGAGCATATGCAGAAAGTTGGACATGTTATGCGATATCAAGTATCTGCATTGATCGAACTTTGTTATCGAAGCGTATAACAGCTCAGGTTGGCAAATTGTTATTTTTAATTCTCCTATAGACAAAAACGATATCACTTTAATTATAAGATGATAGGTGTTTAATTTCTGAGTACTCTAAATGTGTTTCCTAAAGACACTTAAGCGAAAATTGATAACATATTTCAAATTAATGAAACTTACAGTCATTTGATTTTAGTAGCATTCCGGTATGCTTTGAAGTTTTTTTTGTCAGGACTAATTATTTATAAAACTTTAAATATTATGCAATAAATTGATCGGTGCACCTGTATTTTAATACGTTACAGGGTGTATCCTAATCAATTTTAGTGTATTCTCTTTGTTAATAAAGTATTTATATGCGTTCACATAAGCCGACCTTGTTATATAATATAATCTGCATTTTGCGAACAACCAAATTGACCGCCGGTAACCGCATATGAATTAATGCACAATTCGTTGTGGCATTATTTGAATAGACAATTATACAATTTTCCAAATGATTTGACGAATGCAACACACAATCAATTCAATTTTGGCCAAATCAAATCGTTAAATATTAATCTATTCGGCATGCAATATGTGAGTAGGTCAATTTGCGCATATTTTCGGAGTTAACCAATAATAAATGTATGTGGTAAAGGATATAAAAAATGCCGAAAAAATAACATAGTATAATCATATTTTCTTGTTTTCTATTTCCTTTTCCTCATAATTATAACATGAAGTACCTCAAAAAAATAAACAACAAATATTCAAAAAAGCTTTGAAAAGCATTGAATGTGCCGGAAATATATTTTTTTATTTGTTTCCTAGAACTGAAACTACAACTAATGTAACTGGAAACGGCACAATAATTCCATCCATTTTAAATGTAACTCAAAATATAGGTAATGCATTTATTTAGCTTGTGAACAGAATTTATTTATGCAGCAAATACTGTCGATTATGTGGAATGCATATGTGTCTGTGCACGTGTAAAGTGCGTGCGTGTGTTTCCGATTGAAGCTTTCGCTTTAGAGCACGTAGGCAAACATGGCGTATACACAATGTGGCGTTCCATTGGATACATCTCGCACAAGCTGTGCATTAATAATTGTACAGACCTATTGACTGATTGACTGACTGATTGACTGACGGTCTTTGATTGCTTGATTGATGCACTGATTAGAGCAAGGCTTGAGTGCGCCTTTGAGTAGGCAACATATGAAAATCAATGGCGGCTTTGGCTGCCATTTTACTGTCATAGAAAACTTGTCGCAATTTCCACAGCTAAAGACGATAAACGATTTCCTCTATCAAGGACATAAGGGATATTTAACATCGTTGCACATTCCTTGGCAGTTGGAGGGCGGGCGGGCCTAGGGGACTCGGTTGAGTGTGCGCACATTTCAAGCACGTCATCGGTTTAAGGAAAACCTAGCTGTAGCCATGGATGAGGCAGGCCCTCTGACAATCAGGACGTCAATTCCAACAGGACTCAACAGAGTTTAACGAACCTGTGCACATGTGTGTGTGCATGTGTGTGCGAGAGAGAGAGTGAGTATCTGAGTATGAGTGTACGCACCTTAACCGTTACTTACCACACTTTTACAGTAATGCGTCCATTAACAACAGCTCATTTTGTGCTCGAAGCTTAAAGCTTACGGTTTTTGTTTAAATGAAAGCATGTAAGCTTTTACACAGGGCTTTTTTGTGTGCTTTAACAGATTGCGCATGGGTTTGCGTATTGGTTTTTTTTTTTGGGATTTTTAAGTAGGATTATTTCAAATTATGGTAAAAAAATATAATTTGGGTTGGAAACAGGGACGATTTTAAGAACTTTTATAGCTTTCCTCTCTCAAAATAAGAATCTGCTTGGATAAATGAATTTCGATGGTTAATAATGATTAAGATTAAAAGTTAAATAATTCAATTCAAAATAATATACAAATTAAAAATTGTTAACAATTAATTTATTCCCATATCAAAATACAGTAAAGCATTTATAATTAAACTTATGTAGAACATTCAACAAATTTTGCAAATATTTTAGACGGGTTTTAATATAAAAAAACTTTTCCCAAAAAAAATAATCCATCATATACTGAGAAAAATACGTGATATGTTTTAATTACCAATCCTATGGACTTTAATACTGGCTCGACATTAACTTGCCACACAATCTAGAACTTTGTTAGCGACCTCTGAAGGCTCACCAGCCGTGCTCCTTGTGCAGGACATGCTTATAAATGGTATAGGGCACAGGATATGGCTTGGGCACAGGTATCTTGATGTGCTTGATCACCTCGACGGGGTACGGTTTTTCGACTTCAACCGGATAGGGTTTTTCCACCGTGTACGGTATCTTGCGTTCCGTTATTTCGGGAACTATTTTATAAACGGGAATTTGTATTTCCTGTTGCACCGGAACATGAACCGCATAGGGTTCTGGTATTTGCAGCCGTATAACATTGGGTACCTTTTAAAAGGGAAACTAAATTGAATGAAATCCATCTTAGGCCAACGCTTTGAATTCACCAACTTGTACGGCCACGGGATGTGGTATGGGCAATGGCACCTTCTCAATGACATGGACGGGCACATGCTTCGATGTCTCCGAGTAAGTGGTGGGTGTGTCTTGGTGTTGATGATGATAATCTCCGAAGCCGGTACCACCTCCACCTCCTCCACCTTCAAAGTGCCCCTCGCCAGTGTGCTCCGACGCATAGCTAAGAGACATGCCGCAGACGAACAGCTGTGCGGTTGTACGGGGATTATGACTTTAGAGGCCACACTAGAGAGTTTTTGATGCACTTACAATTAACCACATTTTATGGCTGAGATTTATTTGTGTATTGGTTGCTCCACGCGCCGCGAATTGCAGTTAAACAATGCGAGTGCCTGCAATCCGTTAGCTGGCTTTTATATTGCAGCTGGCAGTTGGCAGTTGGCAGTTGGCCAAAAGTGAAAGATTTTTCCATTACAATTGGTCAACTGTTTAGTTGATGTAACCATAACATTGAAATAGAAAGTATTGCATTCGGATCGCATAATTTTCATTGTGCTTTTCCAAGCAAATGTTATAACAACAAATTGGGTTCAAGTGGGTATCAAGTATCCCGCTGCCTGTCCATTGCTCTCACTCTGGGCTGGCAAAGTGAATGGCCCTGCCCTGTTCCGCGTCGCCTCGGCCCGACGGCTCCTGCTGCAATCTGGGCCTGTCCCAGCTTTGGGGTTAAGGTTGTTACACGTACTTGAGTTCTGCTATCGCTTCCGTCAACCGTAACCCGCTCTGGCGAAAAAGTGATAGTCGGTAACGCTAACGCTGCCCAGCAGCCAGTCAGACCACTTTTAATATTCGTCTGAGATTTGCACAAACACCGAATGGTGTCTAGGAAATGGGCAGCATCACTTTGCTGGGCCTTAGGCGCAGGCGCAGCTGCTGGTGCAAGCAATGAAATCAAAAAAACTGGTTCGCAATTTGGGCCAAAAAACTAATCATTGGGATGCCTAACAAAAAATTACAAATGCCCGTGGTAAGTTCGAGGGACAAAAAGAAAATGTAACATCAGGAAATGTGAAAATTAACTGCAATTTTTAACATAAAAAGGGCGTAATAAGCATATCAAAGGTAAACACCCGATTAAATCAGACAGGTTTGAAATTTTAAAGACCATAGCGGCATATTGAATTTGTTTGTCTTTACCCTTATATAAGGGAATAGCGATACTGAATTGAATATACTTAAATGGCATTTCTTTATTGCAGAAAGTTAATGACTATATTGGAATACTTCATATCAGGGTACTCGGTCATATTTTTCTTCTTTGTGCCAGTTAAAGCAACAGTTGAATTTGTATTTCCAATAATTGAATCCTACAAATCAAAGATGCAAGCAACACATATTCGGGTAAGTGCACATTTATCTATTTTTTTGTAAATTGTAAATTCCCGAAAACACATTAAGCCCATAACTATGACTCTAGCGGAAAGAAACTTAAGACCTTGTTCATCATCCAATGTTGGATTTAATACGTACTGCATACGTAATGTTTCAATTGGAACAAGTAAATAGTTGAATCAGTTCTGGGACTTTTCAGCATTATATTATTTATTTTTACAAAATGTTGTTGAGTTATTTGACAAAAACTACCTTTTGCCCCAAAATAGCGTAAAATTAATTATCTAATCAAATAAAAACTAAATCAAATGCTATTAGGCATCTTCATCCAGCTCGTCCACATCCCAATCCCAGTTGGGGAAATCGTCCTAGAAAAACACAACATTTGAGTCAGGTCCCTTATGTCGATTCGATGGCTACTTACATATTCGTCTAGGTTGCCTTTTTCCTCGGGTAAGGCACGCGGCGAACACGCCACATACGCTACGCCCGAGTTATGACCGGAGCACTCACAGGTTTGACTGCCTATAGGCGTGGCACTCTGGGCTACACGCTTGGCGAAAATGGTAGCAAGCCGCATAATCGGATACTTGCGCTCCGGCGCCAGTTTGCGTGCACTGAACACCGATCCGTTTGTCTCCAGCGCCAGCGGTGTGCATATGCCCAAATTGCTCTTGGGTATGTGCACCTGTTTCCGTGTTTCGGCATCGCCCTCGGGGAAGCGTTTCGAGTAGACCAGCTCTCTGTCCAGGCCAAAGAAGTGGCGCAGTTTTCGCGTGCGCTCAAAATCGAATTCCGTGTCCGCTAAAATGTGCAGATTGACGCCCTCCTCCAGCATGAACTGCAATATGGATGTGTAATCGAAGCGCATATCCTTAGCCGCGCAGCTGCTGCACGACAGCAGGATGAAGGTTTTAGATACACCCGGCCGGAAGTTCAGACGGGATGCTGTTGAAATGGCCATTAGGATATCGCTGCTGCTGCCATTGCCGGTATTAATGTGCGCAAAGTAATTGGCCAGCTGCTCGGGCTTCGATGTGAACACATTACGCTCATAGATAATGCTTCGCGGCCTGTCGTAAGGGGCAACGCCGCCAAATGCCACAACTGCGTAGCTGGAAACGGAACACAATTGAAGGATAAGCTATTGAAGCCTTCAGTTTGCTGAACTTACCGATTGTTGGTTAACTTGACAGCCTGCAGTTGCTCTTCAATGCTGGAAACGACGCTCATAATGCTCTTGGACTCCTTGAGATTCTCATTGCAGGATTTGGCTTCCACAATGAAGACCACATCGCTGCTGCGTGGAATATCAGCGCCACTGAGCTCCATAAATGTTCCCTCCGACACATACGAGCCATTTGCCAACTGACAGCTGTAAATAACAAGAATTAGTTGCAGCGTTAATTTTAGTTTCAGTGGATTGCCCAAGGACGGGTGCATCACTGTACTTTACTCACAATATACACTGATCCGGCACACGCATGGGCACCTTAAGCGTGGTACATGTCTCAATATAGGCCAGGGCAGCAGCACAAGCGCCCTTTACGGCCGGATGACCCGGACGAATGGGCTGTGACTTCATGCCCAGATCTAGGCACATCTCATAGAAGGGTGTGGGCTCCACGACAGCGCTGCAGGCGGACAGAATGCCCGAGCGGAAGAAATTGTTACATATTTGGGTGACTTCTTTGTTGGTTGGCTCAGTCCTGGCCAACTGCGTTTGCTGGCAGTGCTGCAGGCTCCAGGAGTCCGTGAACTGCTGCGTTTGATTCGTAATCAAGCTGTTGGACATGGTGTACTCATCGTAGGGCTCGTTATTGAGCGTGCCCAGCAATCCGGCTGTCCTGGCAAAGTACCACCCGCTCACCTCGAACCAGCACAGATCGAATTGCACATTGCAGTGCAAACTGAATTGTGTGTCCGAGATTATGGACAGAATGTCTAGCTCGCGATAAATATTAACCGCTCCCAATTTGAGTGGCAATATTGGCTGCGGATTGCCATTGACGCTAATGTGCTGTGGATATGTGTGAAGAAGCAGTTAGTTTACGAGTAGATAGAGTCCTCAACATGCATAGCTTACATCCGTGCCAAGATCTATCTCGATAAACTGTCCATTCGCTATGAAACTCAGCTTGCGCGTGGAAATGTCCCCTGTTTCTCGACCAGCCAGCGGTTGGGTCTGCCAAGATAATCAAGTATTAGTTATTAATTGAAATATATGCTAGGGTATAGAAAGTCGAAGTAAATTATCCTACCGCTGGTTCCAGCAGCAGAGTAAAGTTGCGCTTGAAGAAATCGTGAGCCAACAAATAGCTGCACTGCCCATTGCGTCCTCCATTCGCCAGTTGCTCAAAGTTTAGATTAAGACCCACAAAACGCTGGTCAAAGGTCATATAGTGGCGTGAGTCGATAAGCAAAGCGCGTGCTGTAAGGGCAAAGAGTTCAAAATTAATCTTTACTTTAGGTTCTAGGCTAAATATCGCTTTACATACAGTAGTAGGGTGGCAGCCAGGTCTTGGGATCTAGATGGGCGCGCATGTTGTACAGCTTCATGATGATGGACGAGTTTGTTTCGCTTAGTAAGCTCTGAACTTTGGAAAGCATTTTATACTCTGGAATCTCCTCGAATTTGGGTGTCTCATTGAACGCATGCCAGGACATGGGCAGCTTTTGTTCCAGATCAATAACGCCCACCTCCGGATCGAATACGAATTTGGTCTTGGCCTCTCTGTACATGTCCGCCGTTTCCAAGGCATTCATTGTATAGGTGCGGAACTTGTTGCGCAACAGTCCGTATAGCTGATGAATGCGATACTCTAGCTGCAGCTCGTCGGCTATCCACTCCAATTTGGCCACAATTTCGTTGTACTTTTGTACGACGATCTGCACCTGTTCGATCTTCTGCAGCTCCTTGATCTCTTGCCAGATTTCGGTGAGCACCTCGTTCAGCTCGGCGCCAAATGGCACCAGTTTAAAGTACTTCTCCTTGATAAAGTTCCAGGCAAGCGTCGAGTACTTTTTAATATTCGTGATGGCATCGTTCGCCTGGATATCCCTGTATAAGCGTTCCGCATCGGCAGTAAAACTGGATACCTTATTGAAATAGGGCGACTCGGCCAGTTCATTGGTCCGTTTGTATATGAAGTCAAACACCTCCTTGCTCAGATCCCAAGCGCTTGTCTCTATAAAGCTGATGATCTTAAACATGTGCGGCTCGAATCGCTTGAGTACATTCTTCCAGTAGGTCTCAGCCAGATGCCAGAATTTGTGCCACAGGTTCTCAATATACTTAATGAACTTGATGTGCAGCTCCTTCACAAACTTGTCATACTTCTCTATGCCCTTCTCCATAAGCGTAGAAATGTAGCTCAAGCTCTCGCCATGGAAGAAGCGACTGATTGCGTCTAGGACATTGTTGTAGGTCGTTTTTATAGTATCTATCAGCCACACAATGCTGTTACGCAGCGCCTTGCCTGAGTCACCCATGGCCTGCCACAGCTCGGAGAATATCTTTGGCAGCGACTCAATGTGATCCCTGATGGCCAGCTCATCCAAAATGGTCAGTGTAAAGTTGACCACATTTTTAATGTAGAAATCATTCGCTTCATACGACTGATTAACAAACAGGCGTAAATCGTTCAGATCCTCTTCCAATACGCTTAGCTGACTTATGTCGTCAACGAACTTTTTATTGTACTCCTTGGCCGTGCTCCAGATGACGCCTACCGACTCCACAGATTCGGAGTAGACAGATTTAATCCAGAAATCAATGCCATCGGAGAAGGAGTTATATATGGAATTACCCACTCCATTGATCTTCTCGCGCAGCTCGTTCTTAATGTTCGGACGCCAGTGGAAGCGACCCGTGATAAGACGAGAATGGTTCATCTTTAAATAGGAGCTCACATCAATAATGCGGATTTCCTCGTAGTTGCGCCAGATGTCCAGATAACCACTGCGTGTGTCGGGTA